CCCTGCCCAGCGCTGTGTCTCTGCCACCTCGAGTATTTGCAGCAGGTCTTACAGATGTCAGTACTCCTGTCCTGAAGCAAAACGGACAATGAGTTCCCGCTGACCTCGGGACAATGGACCTCGCCGGAGCACAATATGTATTTTACGCTGGCAGGGAAAAGCCTCCGTGTAATTGAGAGGGAGAGAAATGTCACTCTCGCGGTTTTGTTGACACGGCGCTCTGCGTGGAGGGGAGCCCGGGCCTGGCAAGCGGGGCCGCCGGGGGCCAAGCAAGCACTGGGCCCTTGTAATTTAGCGCAAGCAGACGAGGCGGCAGACGTTAATCTGCTCAGATTTTCCAACTAAGGAGCTGTCCCCAGAAGTGAGGGGCCACGAGGAAGAGTCCGCGTGTGTCCTGTTCACACAGCCGGCGCCGGGGCCCAGCTGCCAGCCCGTTTCCTGCCTTTATTGTCCCCCATAATGCTTAATGTACTGTTGCTGTAGGGTGTCCTTGTGCTGTATCTGGTGCCTTCTCGTATCTTTTACCCATCTCTGGCTTTCTGCGGAGGCACACTCCCAGCAACTCGGAGAACCGGTATTTGCCGCCGTCAATCAGGCATCTTCGTGGTTGGCACCTCATGGATGGACTTGGTTTTAAGCATAAAAACTCCTTCTCTTTGGGGCCGTTTCATTCTCTGTCCCTGGTGTCTGTCAGTGGGGTGGCTGGGCACTGCAGAGCCAGCCGGCCCACGGGGACAGCCGACTGCACCAGAGCCACCTTCTGGGTCAGTCCATTCCTGGGGCCCCCGGAGGTGAGCAGCTGGTGCTCCCAGGCTTTAGGGTTTGAAAATGAAAACGGAGCTCATAGTGGAGCAGATGACAGACACTGACCTCGTGTGTTCGTGAGCTCACAGAGTGCTTGGGGTAGGTGGTGAAACCCACCTTTCTCCATAGGTGCCCTTGACCCCAGAGTGAAGGACCCCTGTGGTCCATTCAAGGTCTGGGTCTGCCCTTGTGGAGTTGGTCACCCTGATTCAACTAGAAGAATCAGAAGACAATGTAATTGCCATAGTAATTTTTTTTTCACACTCAAAAATTGGACAAGAGTGTGGAACCTGCCTACATTGTCACCACAGAAAGTCACTAAGCTGGTGCATAAGGAAGTTACCCAAGTTTCAGGCGCCGATTAATTTGCTATTTATATTAGGGAACAGTTACCCTAGCAACTGCCAGTGGGTTGTTGCTGTGTCTGTGGCTGTAGCCTCAGCTTGGAGAGCCCGTCAGTGGGTGTCAGAGGGCAGGCCACGAGCAACCCCCTCAGGAGCCCAGAGCAGGAGAGCAGGGCTCCTTGTAGTCCTGTGGTCCGCACAATGGGTGACAGCCTACAGGCCACCTCCAGCTCACCAAAGTCCTGGATGGCTCAGCCATCCATCCCCATACTTCTTTCCCTCCCCCTCCCCCTCCTTCCTCCTTCCTCCTTCTTCCCTCCCTGCTCCCCCGCCCACCTCCCTCTGACACTGTGGACCGCTGGTCCTGCTTTGCACCCACTCCATCATTTCTGTCCCCAACGCTGTCCCTCCCAGCCCTGTGCTAGGTCAGGGCTGCCTCTCTCTAGTCACTCACTGTAGACGGCCCCCCTGCCAGACTCCAGGCTCCACAGAAGCAGGGCTGTGTGTGTCTGGTCACTGTTTGCTGATCCCCAGACTCTTCACACACACAGGCCCTCAGTACGTATCATCTGAGAAGACCAGTGGTGCTAAATGTAGCTATTTCTTTCAATCACCTTTAAAATGCCATTTATCACATACTGCGTTTGATATACCTCCTTTCAACATTTTCTACATTTAATTAGATTTAAGTCTTGAGAAAATAGATCTGTTTTCCCAGTGATTGCCGCTGTAACTGGAAAACTGGCTGCACCTAAAAATCTAATAAGAGGAAGGCTTTTGAGGAGCAGTTAAGTTAGCAGTCAGGCATCATGAATGGGGGAGTGAGGAACCCCAAAACCACGGCCAGCACTTTGTCAGCTCCAAGCTGTCGGCCTCACCACCCCTTCTCATTCAGCTCTATCTTCCCTCATTCAGAATGAAGCGGTTTTCCCGATGCAACAACAGCAGTAATAGTAACACTGCCATTGTAATGCTACTAAGATATCTTTCTCTTTTCTGGCTATAGCTACATGTAAGTCACATGTAATGAAAATTTGAATGAAGCAAATTTGAAACATTAATAACCTTTGTATTAAAGCCTGACAAAGACATTACTGGAAAAATACTACAAACCAGTATCTTTTATGAATATAGATGCAAAAGAAAATCTTTCACAAAACACTAGTGAAGAAAAGCAACTGTGAAGTGGGTTTACCCCAGGAATGCAAGGTTGGTTTACTGTTCGGAAACCAAACAATGTAATCTGCCACATTCACAGAATAAAGAAGAAGAAAAAGGAGGTTGTCTCAATAGACGCAGAAAGAGAATTTGAAAATACTCAACATTTACCATTATAACAACTCTTCGGCAAACCAGGAATAAAAAGGAAGTTTCTCAACCCAATGAAGGGCATCTGTGAAAAGCCCAGTTAACAAAATGCTTAAAGGTGAAATGTTGAAATAATGCTCCCCTAAGACGAGGAACCAGGCAGTTCTCATTCCTTCTAGTCATCACGCACCCAACAGGCCAGCCTGGGCAGTGGTGCAAGTAAAGCAATTCATGAAGATGGGAAGGAAAGAAGTAAAACTGTCCCTGTTTGCAGATGGCTTGACTGTGTGCATAGAAAATCCTAATGAATCAATAAGAAACAACTATGTAACCAATTAGGGGAGTCTAGGGAGGTCACAGATGTAAGGCCAATATGCAAAAATCAGAGGTATGTATTTACACTGCTGGCAAGCAAATGGAAACAAGTGGAAAACTCAAAAGCAATACTTTTTGTCACTGAGTCAAAAAACCAAAACAGATCTATAGATTTAATGAGTCGTGTGCAAGCTCTCTCTATGGAGAACTACAAAATATTTCTTAGAGACTTTGCAGAGCACCTTGATGAAGGGAGAGACATACTATGTTCATGGATTGGAAAGTAAATATTGCTACCATGTGAGTTCTCCGTACATTTATCTAGAATTCCAAAACAATTCCAATCTTAATCCCCACCAGATTTTATAGAAATTGGCAAGACTTCTAAAACTATGGAAACACAACCTAGAGGAGCCAAAACAACCTTAAGAAAGACAAAGCTGGAGGACTTTAGTGGTTGTCCTCACCAAAACCCAAAATTGGAAGGAACCTGAATGGAACTCAACAGAGAAATAGATAAACAATTTGCGGTATAGTCACACAATGAAATACTACTCTGCAATAAAAAGAAATGAACGGTCCCTGCAACAGCGTTATGGATGTCATGCTGAGTAAAAAAGCCAGCCATGGAAGTCCGCAAACTCTGCAACTTCATTTATATGATGTTCTGGAAGATGCAAAATTTCTCTGTGCTGAAAAGCACTCAAAAGCCTGGTTGCCTGGAGTGGGGTGGGGTGAATCTATCTCTTGATTAGGATGTAGGTTAAGCAAGTGTATCTTTTATTCATCAAGCACGTGCAGTTAAGATTGGTATGTTTTAAAGTATGTAAATTTTACCTGGAGAAGGGAGGTAATTTGGGGGAGGGGCATAAGTGAAGCAAAGGTGGCAGAATTTGATGGGTACGGAAGCTGGGCTGGAGGTGTACCGGGCTCATTGCGCTATCCTGTTTACTTGGCCTATGTTTGAAATTCTTCATAATAAAACATTAGGTTTCAGTTTAGCATGTAAAAAAGGAAATACTGTAAGATAAAGCATTTAAGTAAGGCCCCACTTGAAGTACAAAATTTAAAATGTGTTTCCTGAAAATATTTTTATTTCATTTTCAAAGTCACTGCTCGGTAGCTGGTGAGCTGAGCTGAGTGTCACTATCATTGAGCTTTTTTCCCCTCAGGGTGTCCCTTGGTTGGTGAATGACTACACGGCGCCATCTCCTTTGCCAGGAACCTCTGAACCGAGATGGTATCTGGAAATGATTTGGGAGATAATTGTGCTGTTTCCTTAACATGCATCGCTTCCTGACATCTTTCTCAGAGGCGAGAGGCTGTCGTCCCAGCGTCTGTTAAGCGGCGTGGTGAATGCAGGTGCTCCAGTGTGACCAGGGGTCCCCGCTCTGGAAGGAAAGTGAAACCTGGGTGAACGCTGTGAAAGCCGGACAGCTTCCAGGGTCTTCCCGGTCATTTTCAGGGAAGACGGCTCCATAAACTCCTCAAGATGATGCTGACAAAGCAAATCAGCTTAAAAGTAAAGATATCATTCGGTTCCCCACTGCCCAGAAAACTAACTCATTAGACCCCGAAAAGTTGGGGAAACACGGGCTGCATCCATCACTAGCAGGGGGAGATGTCAGGAGATGAGACTCCCATCTGCCCGCCGCTCGCCATGCTTTTCCCCTTGGGCGGCATCAGCCCTTGAGCGTGGCCGGTGGTGTCGAGCATCCCGGGGTGGAGGTGCCGGTGCCCGGACTCTGGCTTCAGCCAGTGGTTCCTCTGGCCTCTTCTGTGTAGTTGGTGAATTTTAAATGGGCGCCATATGTTCTTTTTTTGCAACCTCGGGAAAGGTTCCCTGGCCTTAGAGTAGTAGCATGACCCACCACGATTCCGAGTCATTGCATTTTTATTTTACTAAAAAGGCCTTCTTTTGGGTTTTACAAAGATAGTGCTATTTCCAAACTCACCCTCATATTGCTACCGTTCCAGAGGGTGAAGGTAGGCTGACAGTTGGCATAATGATAACATTTTGGTTTTGTTGACGATGTTTCATGTCTAGGTTGTAACATTTACAAAATGCTGATATATCCATATCCAAAGGCTGCTATATCATTTAAGGAACTAACCAGTAACAAAGTGTGTGCCTTGTATAGCAAATAACCCTCCTTAAAGTTCTATTTATGGAGGACAGAAAACAGAGCTTTGAAAAACAACCCGGAAAATTAAGTGTTTGGAAGACATGAGGACAGCCAGAGGCCACCTCTGCCACCTACCTGCACTGGGGAGCCAGGCCAGCTGGGGAGGCCCCGGGGTGCGGGTTTGGAGTTCTACCCTTCCTGGATGTCACGCCACAGCTCCATTGGAAAGGACACCGAGACTTGCCCACAGCGAGGGCCTGCCCACGACTGATGCCCACACACTGGATCCCGCTCCCAGCATGTGGGGAGGCCAAAGTGGAGAAAACTCGGTCTGTACCCAAGACAACACTCCGCAGACAGGCGGCCTGGGCTGGGAGAGCTAGCTCACCTTCCGGATTCCTGTTCCAGTTGTCTTCACAGAAATGTAAGCTGCTTTAATTATTTTTGAGGACAGATCAAACTTATTTCAGAAAAGAATTAGCTCAGGAGTAGGCACGGGTCCCCCAGAGAGAGCTTTCAGCTCCTCCTCTCCAACAGAGCTGCTGCTGTATTGTGTTTGCCACGCTTCCTACTGTTCCTCGTTATTAATGGGATGCAGAACTTTCTCCTAGGAAAGCGAGAGGGCCCGAGCCTGCTGCAGCTCTGTTGTTGATTTGTTAAAGAAGATACGTACGCAGAATCATCCCCCTGGAGCTGGAAGAGCCTGATGCTCTCCATGTGGGGAAACTTGGGGACAGCTCAGCTCAGGCCACTTGCCCACCACACACGGGCACAGCCACTGTAGGGGGGACAGGCTGCCTCTGGGGCTCAGCTGCAAAGAGTGAAGATCTGGGGTGACTAGACAAAGGCCTGAGTTCTGTGAGATGCAAGGGGCCAGCCACCGGGGTCTCCCCGAAAGCCTAGCGTTCCCTAGATGGCCTGGTGGGAAGACGGGAGGGGCTGTCCTTCCACTCCCCCACAGGTGGGGCCAGCAGGCGTGGGTGGGGGCAGAGGGGGAGTGGGGGACTGTACCTCTGGCCTGTCGTGTAGAACAGGTGGTGATTGTAAGTGTTCTCTGTCCAGTGGGTTTGAAATGTGTACCGGACGCCCCAGTCAAGGTACAGAACTCCTCTTGGTATCTGCCCACCTATGTTCTTAGCAGTATTCACAGTGGCCAAAAGGTGGGAACAACCTCCCAGGTCCACGAATGGGTGAATGTAACCGAAACATGGAAAATGCACACAAAGGTAGGGGTGATGGTTGTACAGCATTGTGAGTGTACTCAGTGCCTGAGCCATACAGCTAACATGGCAGCTTATATGTATATTTTATCACAGTTTAAAATATCACTCCAGGAATGTGCACCTGCCCCTCCCAGTCAATCTGCACCCCACAGGGGTCCCCTCTCTGCCTCTGTGGCCATGACTTAGTTCTGGGTGAGCCTCCTGTAAGGGGACTCACACCTGTACCCTCGGGATCAGGTTTCTCACACAGCGTGTTTTGAGATTTGGCTATATTGTTACCTATATTCAAGTTCATTTTTCATTGCTGCTTAATATTCCATTGTAAGAATATACCACAGCTTGTTTGATTTTTGTTGGCAGACACTGAGTTGTTTCTAGCTTTTAGCTTTTGTGATGAAAACTGCTGTAAACATTCTTGTTCACGTCTTTTCTGGGCAGATGTTGGCGTTTTTCCCAGGTATATGCATAGGAGAGGTTCATATACCTTGATAGACACCTTCAGTTTTCCAAAGGGGTTGTACCATTGTGCACACTCACCAGCAATATACACAGCATTTGGGGTTGTCATTCTTTTTCATTTTACCTCTAATGGGTGTGAAGTGAGATCTCGTGGTTTTATTTTGCATTTCCTGGTGCCTTGTGGTATTGAACGCTGTTTGTATGCTCCCGGCTGTCCCTTTCTCAGATTAAATTTGTCATTCCGATATTGAGTTGTAGGAGTTCTCGATATATCCTAGAAGCAATTCCTTTGTCAATTACATGTGCTAGAAACACGTGGCTTGCCTTTTCATTTTCTTAGCCGTGAGAATTTTCTTAAGCTGCAAGAGATTTATTACGGGGTGTTAAGTAGCTTCAGAATCTTCGGAAGGAGGTTTAAGAGCTGAGCGCTCAGAATAACTGCTAGAAGCAGAAGGAAAAACGGGCCTGATAAGAGCTACTGGTGCTGTTGCTGCCGCCACAGTCACACGGCTCTCGTGTGCTCAGGAGGCGTCCCCTGACATCTTTTGTGTATTGAAACATCATTTTTATATAAGTTTAGTCTTAAAATAAAGAGCTGCAAAGATAATACAAAGTGTTCCCATTTGCCCTTGACCCAGCTTCCTGTAATGTTAGCATGTTAGGTAGGAGTTCAGTGATACAAGTATAAAAACTAAGACATTAACAGTGGTAAATATTATTAACTAAACTACAGACTTTACTCGGATTTTACCAGTTTTTCCACGAATGTCCTTGTTCTGTTCTGGGATCCAATCCAAGATGTCACGTCGCATTTATTCGCCACATCCGTATCTGTGACAGTTCCTCACACTTCCCTTTCATGACCTTGCCTCAGTTAATTTTTAGTTTGTCCTTGGCTATCACAACTTTAAAAAATTTACCGACCTAGTTCTCGTAGTTTTATTTCAATTACTCAGGACCTTCTCCATGTGTAATCATGTCACCTGTAGCTAAGAAAGAGTTTTACTTTTTTCTCTCCCACTTTATGCCCTTCGTTTCTTTTTCTTGCCTTATTTCAGTGGTTACGACCTCTAGTCAGTGTTGAACAGACGTGGGAAAAATGGACCTTCTTGCCATGTTCTCCACCTTAGGGGGAAATCGCTCAGGATAGTGCCGCCAAGCAGGACGTTAACTGACGTTTCTCACAGGCGTCGTTATCTCACTGGACAACCCTTTTCGTTCCTCACTTGCCGAGAGTTTTCAGATGAATGAGTTCAGTTTCATCAAATGCTTTATCTGCACCTCTGAAGATGCTCTTATTAATATAATTATCTTAAAAGTGTTGTAGGTCTCCTATGAATCATATTGGAGTTTCCTCTATGCCCCTGAAAGTCGCAGCTATGATTCTTTTCAAGACAGACCTTTCTCTACTTTGGATAGCTCAGGCGTCTATGAAACAATGTCTCTCAGATTCTTTGATTCCTCTTGTCTCTTATTAAGAGGGTCTAAATCTTTCTGAGGTCTTTCAGCCACATGCTTGATTCAGTCTGTACTCTGAGGCCATTGCTTCCTTTGGGAATATTTTACTGACTATTAAAACTGAAAATGTGACATACGTTTATTTTTTAACTAGCTAGCCAGTCCTGATTTCTTCTAAATTCAGCTTGCAAACAGCAATTCCCTTTTTTTTTTTCTTTTTTTTTTTTTTTTTAAGCTCACCCCTCTCTCTCACACATTTTATCCTACACAGCTATGGGAAGCTAATTGGTGATTTCAGCAGCCTACCTAGAAATATGTTTATCCAAGTTCTTAAGGCACATTTTCTATTTTCCAAGGTAACTGCCAGCGATGCTCTTGTCCCTGGTTCTGCCACCTCCAGCTTTGACAGTCACTCCTCTCATTGTCCTCTGCATATTTATAGGTGGTCTGGCCTTGGGAGATGGAGACCTTGACCAGCGAGGAGAGCTCTGGGCCCCTTTTCGCACAGGCCCTGGGCTCAGTGTCCAGTTGGCCTTATTGCCTGTTGTCTCCCAACCCCTTGTACAAAGGGTCTTGTTTCTCTTTCCAACACCCAACTCCCTCTTTTCTATACGTTACCAAAGCCAGGACGAGGTGAGAAGACAGCTGTTTCCAGAGGCTGCTCTACTCACCTGGGCTTCCCAGACTCCGCCTGGTTCTGCAGAGGTGTTTGCAGGGCTCCATGGGGAACAGTCCCAAGAACGGAACCAGATCACTTTGAGTATCACTCTTGGGATACTCATTCACTCTTAGCTGGATGTGAAATGGGCTCCTCGGTTTCCTTGCTCATCAGTGATTCTGGGGTGCAGCCCATCCAGGATTCTGGGGAGCGCCCCAGGATTTGATGGTCCATGGGCCTCACAGACGCTTGCTTGCCCTTAGGGAGCACTGGCTACATCATGAGTCTGTGAGCCAAGGGATGGTGGCCAAAAAGAGCCCCCTTGAAAGCTGAGCACCTCTGCCCTCCCCACACCCACTTTGGGGGCACCTTTAGATGGGCATCCAGGGGCCAAACTCCTTCAGCACTGTCAGGCGCAGTCCGTGGTGACAGACATGGCTGGAAGCTGAGGCTGGGTCTCTTCCATGTGTCTGTGGGAGACACGAGCTGGCTCTTGTAGCCCAGTAGCCCAGGGCAAAAACTGCTATAATAATCCTGGAATTTCCTTCTATAGTGTCACTGTCAGAAAAGACAAAGGCTAAGAGAATGGTCCAGATGAAAAGAGACCAGAGAGACGTGGCACCTAGCTGGCATCTCTGCTCCCGGATGTCATTGCGTCAGCTGACACAATGGGAACACGGGCCGTAGACTGTGCCGAGGTCGCTCTGGAGAAGCTCATGCTGAGTGTTTGGGGATGTGCCGTGTGCGCCTCCTCCCGAGAGGCTCAGGGACACACACGTAGGCTGGCGGGGAGATCAGGGTGATGCTGGCAGCCATCCTCGAAGCTGGGCAGAGTTATCGGGGCTTCTCCGTGCTGTTTCTGTTCTGCCAACTTCCCTACAAGTTTGAAATTATTTCTAAGTAGGAAGTTTTGGGGAAGTGGTTTTGTGTCCTGAGGGTTCGGGTTTCCAGCGATATTCCTCCAACAAGTCCGCAGTCAGCCTGGTGGCTGTCCCTGGCCCCGACTGGTGCTCATCACAGCTGGGCCTGTGGGGGCTGGGCAGGCACCAGCTGCAGGGGAGGAAAGCAGGTCCCAGGAGGCATGTGGGCTCCCAGTGGGGCACAGAGCTCCGGTTGGTGCCCGGGAGCCTGCAGACGCGCCCCAAGGTCCTCCTCTGCCAGCCGAGTGCCTCGCAGTCAGAGCAGAGCCACTGACCCCTTCGCTGCGGGCGGTTTCCCTGGCCGGGCAGGGCGCTCTGTTGAGCAGAGTGGGCAGCGTGTCTTCCTTAAGTGTCTGGAACTGGGGGCAGCCCGATACCTGTCGTCTCTCCCCGTTTGCTCCGAAGCCCTGGGATGCCCGGAACGTAGGGTTCATTTTCCTCGTTGGGCCTGCCTTCAATTTGGTTTCAGGCACTTTCCAATAAGCGCATGGAGTGCTCTGGGGCTCCGGAGAGGCGCTAAGGAAATCAATGCGTGTTCATCATTGCGGCGGTCAGGAGGCGGCTGCCAGGGCCCTCGGGGCGCAGGTCCTCCCAGGCTGCTCGAGGCTGCGTCTCCCTGCAGAGGCCCCACCAGGCCTGTCCCAGTGATGATCAATGTCCCCTTATCGATGTGTCCCCATTAGGAGCAGTGTTTCAGGCCTCCTGCATCTGTCTCGGAGATTCATGTCCTTCCCTGGTGGACAGGTGTCCAGACAAGAGACCTCGGGAACTGCCCGCCTCCTAGGGGTCTGCAGTC